CACCTTGCATTATGAGGCTAGTGCACTTATAAAAATCTCACACAAAACAACTCTGTGTCAGAGGAGAAGAAAGAGACCAAAGTATCCTTAGAAGAGCAAGACCCAGGCCTTTGGAGGTTTTGGCAGAGGCCAGATGCTGGTGTTTCAGACACAACGGGGGCGAACCATTTCAGGAACACATGGCACATTGCAGGGAGAAAGGCTGGCATGTCAGAGCCAATGGCAGCCAATTATTAAATGTCTAAATATGACTTGCAAATATAGACAATAATAGGAGTTTGACAAGGCTTGTCTGGTGGGATTCAGAGCCAACAAACACAGCAGGTTGTCTTGGAACATGCATACAGATAACAGGACGATAACTGAATATTAATAATTCATAGAATACTGTGATTTCTTGTGAAAGCTCATTGCATTTTTATTAATTGTATAGAAAGTTGTATATTATGGTTTCACGAGGCTATGTTTAAGTTTATGAAGCATCTATCCCAAAAACACGATGGGACCTTGGTCAGTGATAATGTCACATGTTTTGTTAAAAGTGTGTATGTTAAGTAGCTTGTGAAGCTTTGAAGCTTTTTCTGAATGGATTTGTTTACATGCATGCATGTTGAGCGTGAGCATGGCGCATGTGAGAATGTGCACATGGAGGACAGCTGTGCATGGAATAGCAGATAGACTGAGAAAGGAAGCTTCATAGACACACAGCCCATTGTAAAGATCTTGCTCTATAATTATGGACATAAATTATTAATTACTTGGCAGAATCCATTTTCAAGTCATGTCCCAGTTGTTGGACAACTGAAGCATATGAAGATCTTATTGATTATGAATATGGGAGCCAAATAACTCAAAGAACCACGCACTGTGATAATAAAGGAAGCATGTTAACAGTGATAACTAGCCAGCCAGTTAACATTTTAATATTATAATGCTATAGTGTAAGATTATGACATGATTTCCGAACTATATGTCAAACATAAAATTATACCTAACAAAAATTTCACATCCCATAGTATGTGAGTAATCGCGCAGTTCAAAATGGACTCATATCTTAAACTAATAAGCCAGCTACCTAACAGCAGCACTAACCCAAGTTTAAGTAATGAGGATTGAAGAAGACAGTGGAGTGAAATATTTGTGGTAGGGAGTAGTTTGCCTTTTCCTCACATTCAAACTGAGATCTGACTCAGAGCCAGCAGACAGCCTCCCCAGGCAGACGAGCCCATCCCGTTACGGATCAGGGTGCTCCAGGCTGCGATGGAGCCCAGCCACCGGGCCCATTGTTAGCAGAAAGGCTCAGAGGGCACGGGACGTTCCCACAACACCGTCAATACTCAAGCTTATGTTATAGGTCAATTGAGAAAGTCGTTTTTTTTTTTTTTTCCCCTGGACTTTTATAAGAACATTCCCTTGTTCTCGTTTCGTTAGCTGGGAAGCCACCTTGGCGGCCGCAGTGTTGAAAATGTGCCCCGGCCTGGTTCCGGCTGGCACTCCCAAGACCCGCTGAGCGCCGTGTCAGGACTGATTCGGGTTGATGGGAGCCAGATGTGGCTGGTGACTAGAGTTTAAAAAAATTAAAAAAAAAAAAACCCAGTAGTGAAAATCAGCATAATCAAGCTATTAAAAAGGGAAGAGAAAGGGACATGTAATTAATAGATTTACATGAGGAGGAAGGGGCTGGGAGTGTTTTTTTTTTTGTTTAGTTTTGGGTTGCAAGAGAGAGTGGGGTTAGCAAGGAGGCAGAAAGGAGGAGGCTGGACGAGAAGAAGGATTGTGGGGAACTGGCTGACGGCGAGGCTGAAGCGTGAGCAGGGTTGCGTGAGGAGACTTCACACAAAGCCCAGGCTTGGCCAGACAAACACAGAGCTCACATAACAGCAACAAATATAGCTAAATACACATACGCTGCCACCACACACACACACACACACACACACACACACACAATACACCTCCTCCTAGCAACTCACACACTCACAGCAAAAGGACAATCTGGGACTGCTTTTACCTCCTATGTATGAAAGCAAAACACCCTCTATCCACACACACACACACACACACACACACACGCACGCACAGATGTGGGAAACCCTTGCAATCCCAGTCATGTACTTTCTGCTATACGGCAGCACACTTGAGTACTCCAGTCTGAGGAATGGTATTTCCCCTGGAACGAAACCTCTTCGTGACAACAACCGGCCGAGCGTCCACACAATGACACTGTGAAGAAACTATAATAGGAAAAGTATGAAGAAGGCAGGCTGGGGATGAAAACAAGCTTCCTCTCAGTCACACATGAGTACTGCTCCATTTGTTTCGTCGCCGAACTCTTCTGGGGAGAGACCTGGCTGCGTCTGAACATGCTCTGCTGAATATCCTGGCCAATTCAGTAATAATAATTACCGAGGCGGAATTCAATAACG